TAGTTCTTTCTTTTTTTTATTTCCAATTTTTTCCTCGGCTACCTATTTGTTTTGACATATCTACAAGTTGAGCTGAGTTTTTTTTTCCAAACGAGTATTACTATATATATATATATATATATATATATATATATATATTGAACTGACCATTTACATTGTTTTAATTATCCAACATTATTCTGATTTTAAAAAAAAATTATTAATGCGGAAATTTCGTAATCCTCTTCGTTAAATTTCGCCCATGATCATACAATATATATATATCTCCTTTCTCCTATCTCTCTCTATATATCTCTCACCTCTCTCTATCTCTCTCTTTATATCTATCTATCTATCTATCTATTATACTGACACATACATCCACATCGACACTAACATATAGTATATATTTGTATATGTGCTTGCGTTTGTGTGTGTGTCACCTATGTGTATTATCTACGTTTCTACATTCTTTACTTGAAATAAATAATACACAATTGATGTGGCTTTAAATAACTCACAAGTGTTGATAAGCCGTCAAAAAAAACGAACCAGTCAATTCAATCAAAAATATTCTTTACACGTTTCTACTCATTTTACGTTGTTTCTTCTTTCCATGTGCCCCCCCCCACACCCACTTATTCTTTCTCTTTCTTATATTTCCTTCCTTGTTTCATTCATCTTCTCGCCCTATACCCTCCCCCCCCTTTATTTCCTCCCACATTTGATTCTGGTTATTTTCAGCTTCGGCAATTTTGACATTCGTTCCAACCGATGTCTCGCTACATTCGCATTGACTTCCTTCCGTCCAATGCATTTAATGTTAAATACTCATTTAATGCGAATAATATTTCAAACCTTGCCACTCGAGTGCTTTCATATTTATAATAATAGACTTGTACCTAGCTTTTCAGAAAGTGTTGGTGTCATGGATCCTACGCGAACGACGTTTACGATTCATCCAAAAGCCGAGTGTGGCCAGTTAGCTTGTAAATTTATTGATTATTTAAAGAGCACTTTTAAAGTTAGTGATCTGTAGTAGATTGATAGGAGAAAAATAGTTCACAATTATTCGATATTCCACTAATGCTTTTTTTTTCCACACTATTTATTCATTCTGTTCTTTCTTTCTTTCTTTTTTCTTTCTTTCTTTCTTTCTTTCTTTCTTTCTTTCTTTCTTTCTTTCTTTATAAGTCTCATGTATTTAGTTCTGGATTTTTAAAAAATAAAAATGAAAAAGAAAATAGAATAAAATAAAAATAAAAATTTAAAAAGACGTACTGCTTTGTAACTGACCCAGAAAGTTAAAATGTCGCTGATTCATACTAATCTAGCCTGTCGGTCAATTGATATGCGTTGCTCTTTTTTCCATATTATCATAATTATAATATATACCGTTTAGCGACTTAGGTTTAATACAAATATAAAATTTGTCACTTAGCTGATTGATGCTATATTCAGAACATCGACTCCAGAGTTTCGTAGACGAACTTTTTGTAACCGTTCGATCCACTCATCAGGAGGTTTCAACAATTGACTACGGATTTTCTCATTTTCGTTATTTTTAAACTAAGTTTAAAAAAATTGTTTATGCACTATTTTATTGGTGTTGGGTTGATTTTTTTTTCTCTTTTTGTGTGTTTGTGTGTGTTTGCTTATGTGTGCGCGCGAGGGAGAGAGTGCGCATATGTTGTGGCTATTTCTCTTTTTCTTCATTTTCTTATCTCCTTTTACTCTCACCCTCTTCTTTTGCTTACTTTTGTTTTCTATTTCGGCTTTAAGTGTCAAAGATAATACAACAATGTCGTTTCCGGTATCACAGACAGAACATTTTGATTATTCAAAGTAATTCTAATTCCAGTTTCATTGAGGATAAAACGGCATGCGAACTCACTGTTTGTTTTTTTGTTTTTTTAACAATTTAATTTTCCCACAGGTACAATTAAAAAATTTGATCTCAGTCGATCATTATTTCGATGTTTGAAAATTAGCGCCGTTTGGTTTGTTTCTTCGATATTAAAATATGTTAATATCGGCAACACGTACTTTTTCGCTCTAACATGCAACGAGGAAGAATGTGACGAAATTTGTGACGAAGTTCTCCGCTTGTCGTTCACTGGATAGCTGTGGTGACATCCAATGTTGATTGTATCTACATATACACCCAACTTGCTATGTTCACAGGTTTGTCTTCTTGGCCGTGATCATATTCAACAAAAAATAATGACGACAATTGTTTTTAAAGACACTAGTTGGGAGTTAACGACAATACGATTTCTCACTTAACCGTGAGATCCTCCGTTCAGCTTCGGGAAGTGGGCTGCTATCTTACCAACTTCCAGCCACGTAAAAGAACCCTTACATTCACTGCTTGCTGGACACCTTCTCCCTGCTTATATGGATAATAGCTGCGGTCCCAGCCCTGTTCTATCCACTTGTTAACTTGGAAATTTTGAGACCACCCTAAAGCCACGTGAGTGGTCAAATCTTCAAAGGACTACTTTTATGACTATCTAAAATC